GGGGGGTGGAAGTGGGAAAAGACAGGGAGAGCAAATAATAGTAGCAGCTGCTGGGGAATTTGGTTGATGAGCAGCACGAAATAGGCCGCCGGACCAGACCAGCAGCAATGCCGACCAGGGGCAAAAAGACGGGGGGGAGGGAGGGAGGAAGGACTATCACTAACCAACTACCTGGCCGCGGACGGAAAGCAACAATAACCTACTAAAACCACCACGCACCACGTCAGACCAAAAGGAAAAGAAACAATGGAAACAAGAGAAAGGAAGAATGAGAGCCAGTCAACAGGGCAGATAATCGAGCAGGGGGAGGAAGAGGAGGGTGAAAGTAGAGTAGAAGAGGTTGAGTGAGAGATCGAGACGAAAGAGAGTTTGAGGCCGAAATGAAACACACCAAACGGGGAGCGTTGTTTCAGATAGACTCGCCGCGCGGAACCCCATCATCCTATCCTATTCTTTACTTCCTCCTCCCGCCATGATATTAGCGAGGATGATTGTGGTCAGAGCTTCTATTGTCTGGAGCAATAACACTTTTTGGAGGGAAAGTGAATCACCCCCCATTCATTCCAAGTGAATCCACTCGTTTTTATTATGGCCTCCTTGGATGAGACACCCGCGATACGAGGCTCTCCGAATACGATACTGGCCACCTTCCCAATCTGGTAGAATCTGGGCTGTGTTTCCGCCGGTATCTATAGTATTGATAGTATGGCTGATACGGTACCCGTCATTTCTCAACGCCTCAGGCAGCCACTGACTCGGAAGTTCTAGCCAAAAGCCAGCAGATACTTATACGTCCAGTAAATTAAAGCTTCTATGTACACTATCCAATCATTGCCCAAAAAAAAAAAAAAAAAAAAAAAAAAAAAAAAAAAAAAACGCCCTTCAAACACAATACGAACTCTAATGCCAGTACCCGGGTGAGATTGCGCCAGTATCCCAAATCAATCAATGCTTTCATCAGATGCTACTATGTGAGTCGCGTGGAGAGAGGAGAATCCCATATCGCAAGATGCAGTCAAGTCCCACCCTCAAAAAGGACGGAAGACTTGTCATAGATGACCCGGCACCATCATTCTAAATTATGAAGGGGTGCTTTTGGTTCTTTTCGTGTGCTTTTTTGGTACAGCGATGCCGTGTTTCAGTTGCCCATCTTCATTAGGTCTCCAGCGACTGGTGGATCACACTCGTTCGATACGTCTCACTACGCTGGATCAGCTCCTGATGGGTTCCTTGTTCCGCACAGCGGCCCTCCTCAATCAGATAGATCTGATCCGCTCGGTGGATCGTGTTCAGTCGATGCGCGATCGCGACAATCGTCGTGCGGCCCGCTAGCGTCGTCAGGGATTCTTGGATCTTCTTCTCCGACTCCACATCCAGTGCGCTCGTCGACTCGTCCAGCAGCAGCAGCCGTGGCTTGCGCACCAGCGCGCGTGCAATTGACAGGCGCTGGCGCTGCCCGCCTGAAAATTGCTTGCCGTCGTGGCTGCACATCGTCTGGTACCCGTCCGGCAGGGCCATAATCACGTCGTGGATGTGCGCCATGCGACACGCCGCTTCGATCTCTTCTTGTGTCGGTTCATGGCCGGGGCAAGCACCCAGACCAATATTGAATGCGACCGTTCCTTCGAACAGAACATTCTCCTGCGGCACCAAGGCGATATCATCCCGGAACTCAGTGCCTAGCTGCCGAGTCACGTCTACTCCGTCGATGATCACCGACCCGGCTGCAGGACGGTAGAATCGCTCCAGCATGGCAAAGGTCGTCGATTTGCCCGATCCGCTAGGTCCGACCAGCGCACAGAACTGACCGGGCTTGATGTCCAGGGTAAGTCCTTTTAGGATTGGACGTTCAGGCCGATTGGGATACGTGAAATGCACCCCACGAAGCTGGGCGCCGATACCGTTGCCATTCGTCTGGCGTACACCCCGACGGGGCTTCTCTGCGGCCTCCACATCCTGTGTGGCGGCTTTCTCCTCAAGCAAACTGCTTGAGGGCTGCATGCTCTGCGTGGAACCCGGAGCCAGCTCTTCCTCCGCGGAGCGGGTAGTGAGCAGATCAACAATGTTAGACGACGCCAGACGGGCCTTGGAGATATCCGGTGCCAGAGCAAACATTTGACCACAAGACTGCGTACTGAATAGCAGGCAAGGCAGGACAATAAAGAACTGAGTTTGGGAGTAGAGCCCCGATGCCACCTGCTTCGATCCCCACCAATACGCGAGGGCATACACCAAGTTGCTGATGCTAAAAGCCAATGCCAACCAGGCATTGCCATGTGCAATAGCTTTCATGGTGTCCCGGTATGGGCGGCGCAGGGCTCGGACGAACACTTCCTGGGATTGCTTCTCAAGGGAGAATGCTGCAACAGCACGAATGTTATCGACGGCCTCGACTGTGATGGCCGTGGCCTTGGCAAATGCCTTCTGATGCCGCTCAGTGAACTTGGCTTGAACGCGGAGCTTCATCATGCCTGCTATAAGTAAGACGGGTATGGTCGGAAATAAGACAATAGTGATTTTCCACGCGATAGCAAACGATATCACCAACCCGGCTACCAGGTTGACGGCTGTAGCAAGGAGGAGACCGATAGTCGATCCGGTAATGCCACTCAAAGAAGCAGCATCCCCGGTGATATAAGTGATCAAAGTTCCTGGAGTCCGGTCCTCCATTCCATGCCATTGTATGGTCTGGCTCAGCAGCGATCGTAGTGACAGCACCCGGAGCCGATACAGAATCTTATCCGCTGCCCAGCCAAAGGCGCAGCCGCCCACCACATTTGCCGTAAGCTCGACCAGGGCAAGGATGAAAAAGAGCAACCCATAAAGGTTGCCACTATCACTGATGGCATCAGAAGATCTGCATGGGCTCAGACTGCCAACGGTGTGGCCAAACACAATCGCCTCGGCCGAGTAGCTACCTCCAATGATGACGGACATACAGAGCCCGAGGCAAATCAACGGCAGGTTGGCCCGCACCAGAGAGAACGTGTACTTGATGGTGAACCAGCCCGAACGCTTCCTCTTCTTTCCTTTGCTCACATCACCATCTGTGGAACCAGGAGGTACCTCACCGCACACCGTGTCTTCAGTGATATCTGAACCCCCAATGCCTACCAAGGCTTCCTTTTCGTCTGTCGGCTGCACACTCTCGTGAATACTGCTCGTGGTAATCATATCGTGAGGGCTCTTCAGATCTTCAACGCTCAATTTACCCAGGTTTTGCAGCCGTACCATTTCTGCGTACACGCCGCCCTGCGCCACGAGCTCCGCGTGGGATCCTTCCTCTGCGACACGTCCAGTCTGTACGACAACAATCTTGTGTGCATTTTTGGCAGTAGCTAATCGATGTGCGATCGAGACTGTGGTTACTGTTTCAGATACTTTGGCCAGTGCAGCCTGGATAAGTTGTTCGCTGGTGGAATCCAAGGCAGCCGTAGCCTCGTCGAGAATGAGTAAGCACGGTTCTCGCACGAGAGCACGAGCAAGAGCAATTCGCTGCTTCTGGCCTCCACTAAGCTGATTTCCTGCTGTTCCAACATGGGTTGCGAACCCGTGAGGCAAAGCATCAATGAAGTTTAACGCATTAGCGCTGGCGGCAGCCTCCCTGACGAGTTCTACAATCTCGGTAACACAACCGTCGAAGCCGGTAAGAGCATCGTTCTCGGACATGCCTTCCCTGATCTTTACAGCAAGTTCCGAAAGACTTTCATCGAGAATGAACGGGGCGAGCCGTTGATGCTTCTCTGCGGATGAAGCCACCAGGCCGTACGCGATATTTTCCAGGATTGTTCGATCCAACAAAGCCGGTTCTTGTTGAACAAAACCGATATTGCCTCGCAAATGTCGAACATTGAGATCTCGGAAACTCTTCCCTCCGATGGTCACATCGCCTGATGCAGGGTCATAGAATCGTTCTAGGAGGGAAACCACGGTTGATTTTCCACCACCAGAGGGTCCAACAATGGCGGTATGCTTCCTAGGAGGGATGACAAAACTCATTCCCCGGAGTACTGGAACGTCTGGTCGAGCCGGGTATGAAAAGTGAACATCATTAAACTCAATGTTCTCCTCTCCGAAAGCAGTCATCTTATCACCGTCGTCTGCGGTCCCATCAATGGCAGAACGACGATTGATCACGGCTAGCAGTCGCTCCGATGCACCGGCTGCGGACGCAAAAACATGGATAAAGGGGGCAACCTGACTCAGAATAAAGGAAGCATCGATGAGAACAAAAATGACAGTGTATACAGCACCCACAGATATACCTGAGTTGTCGTGGGCAACGGAGTCCGAAATCATCTGGGAACCCTCCCAGAAAGCCAAGGCGTTGGCTGAGTATGCAACAAAGTACAAGAATCCAAGTTGCGTAGCATGCGTACCTGCCTTTTTGAGGGCATCCATTGATGACCTGGAGAGATAAGTGGCAAATCGCTGCTCCAAGCGGTCGTTGGCATTGAAGGCATGAACCAGGGTCAGATGCGATAGACTGGACGAGGCAATCGACGTAGCGGCATTGATATTGGCTGTAATCCGGCTCGCATACTTTTTGATGAAGTGACCTCCAACTAGCGACATGAGGAGGAAGCAAGGCACCACTGATACCAGCATGCCCGCGATCTTTGGCGCCTTGATAAAAGCCACGATATAGGCGGTCACGAAGTATGAAATAGTGGAGATCACCAGGCCCACCTTCTCCGAGGTCCCCATTTGCACTGTCTCAATGTCACTAACCAACCGGGAGATCACATCGCCCGAAGGAAGTGACTCGATGAAGTTCATGTCCTGCCTAATGATACTTTCAAAGTATCGCCTGCGATAACGGCGCGCCAGACGTTCGCTCACCAAGCACCAACATGACGTGTAGATATAGATGATGAAGAAGTTCGCTATGGTGATGTAAATCACATAAAGAACCTCGGTGCGTACACTGGACGATAAACTTGACGAATCGTTGTCCGAGGTGGAACAAGTAGTCGAATTGAGGTTGTTGATCAGATTACCAAATACAATTCCGAGCAGAGGAAAGGGGATTCCTCCAGCTATCCCGAATATCACGCCGCATACAATAAGGAAGACGTCGAATATCGTGTAATCCAAAGAGAAAAGAAGGTGTACGTAGGCGAAGAACTGCTTCAGGTGTGCTTTGGTTGGGATTAGTCCATGGAGAGATCGCATCTAAATGCGAAGAGGTTCACCCAAGTCAGTACCTGCTGCTCATCCCTCGAATGAGCGAATTGAACATAACATACCAAGCCATAGACACCATTGGAGTCTGCCCGCCCTTCGGACACTGGGTCTGGGTCTGCCATTGTAGCTTATAAGTGTACGCAGTCTCGGTGGGAAGAGGCAGGGCAAGGTTCGAACAGAAAAGTATAAACCCTGTTATATGACAGGCCCTATCGTGACTTCAAACTTCAGTCACAATGTGTCAACGAAAGAGGCGCACGGGAAGCCAGGGCGCTGGTGCTCCAGAGTCCCTCAATTGGAGAGGGATGAGTCGGAATGCCCTCAAAACGATCGACCGGCAATGAGGCAAGAGTGAACCGATACACTCAGACAGACGCCCCCCAAAAAGCATCCCCGCCAATGTCGACGATATTCTATTCGAATGGATGGTTCACCAGATCTGGAGAAAGCGGAGGGGAAGAAAAGAAGGGGGTCGAGATTTTAAAGAGATAATGAGTCCACCAAGAAAAAAAAAAAAAAAACCAAAAAAAAAAAAAAAAAAAAAAAAAAAAAAACAGAAAAGGAGCTAGCATAGTTCGTACAGAGCAGGAACACACTAAACTTCAAGACCCGAATTGCTCATCATTATTGCTCCGGTTGCGGCCCTTTGAAGAGCTAAGACTTGGGCCTGAGCTGCAGTTGACTCCATGGTGTGCTTGAGTCTAAAGGCCAGTCAGTGGAGGGGAAAGCCATGAGTAAGAGAAATCCATTAACCCCCAAAAGCATCCACCATCGGAAAAGAGGGTCCCGTTCCAGCTGGTGACTGAGCGGAGAAGATCAAACCTACGAAGGGGAGAATTGTACCGAAGAAAGAGGTATGGATCGTCACTCGACAGGGAAAGAGGGAAGACGAGGAGCCGGACAGTGACCCAGTAATGGCCTGATTTTCACCCAGTGGACACATGTAAACTCAACAAGTACTAGTAGTTAGTACTGCAGACAATCGATCCCAATACGATGCAATGCGGGTGTGAGCAATTGCGGCAAACACCGGACTGCCGTTGTATTGTAAACCCACGGCTTTCATTGAGAAACGGCGAGGAAGATCAATCATTGGATGTTTTTGTTCCAGACGCAGTGGAGCCAAAGTGGGAAGGCCAGTTCGGCGGTTCCTGGGATCTGTGTAACACTAAGGAAAAGTACTAACCGAGGCTATACTAGTCTACACTGCCTAGTCATCTAACGCTTATGATCGTCTTTTAATCTAAGAAACCCACCCAAAAAAACAAAAAAGAAAATATATCGACTTGGGTGTACCGAGTACCGAGGGTACATTTTGAACTGTTCGGCAGCTAAACTATGTCTTCCAACTACAAATCCTCATAGCTGAAAGGGCAGGTGCTCATCTTCAATGGTTTATTATACACAACAAAAGCACCAAGAACCAAAAAATGCATAAATAGATAAATAAAAACAAATTAGAATAAAGGGTCTCGTTGTGTGATATGCAGGAATCAAACTCAACTGGAACTGAAAACGAGGCAACAAGCGCTAAGGATCTGGGCGTGGGACATGGCTGGATGGATCGACATGTCGTCGGGCTCATCTGATAACTCTGTTGTCGAGGTTCGCTCCATTACCTGCAGACCCGCAGCCCAATCACCTGCCTATTCTGGTGCCGCCGCGGGAAATTTTTCTCATCTTCTGCCGTCTTCTTCCTTCTTCTCCTACCCTGCGGTGTACATCTCCATCTTCTCTCACGAACTCTCACATGAAACCTTCATAGGTCGGTCCCCCCCGGTATAACACCATTTTTGAGTTACTTCATAGGTCAAATCCACAAATGCAAATTGTGTATTGAATTTCCACCCCCACCAGTATTATGACTCTTTCTGCCCCGCTCGGGCAGGCATGACCACTGCAAGTCTGCAACACTGTTGTGTTACCCGTTTAACGCAGACCTGAAACAAGACAGCATTCCGCTGTTGCAGTCAAGTCCCGCGAACCCAATTACTATCATGTATCTATACCATAGCAATATAAGACTACAAGACACTACAATCTATTTAAATTGCACAAAAACTTGCTACGCAGCGTTCCATGATTCTAGAATTATGTAGCGTCCGTCCTATTCCAGAATAAGTAAAATACTAACCAGAACTTATCCACAATCCCACTTCTGATGGGGTTTGCCGATGGAGTAGTCCAAGTTATCAGATGGCGCGGCGTGTTCCTCCCAGTTCTCACTTAAGTAACCCCCATCCGTCGGGCACCACCAGTAATTTCCGCTCGTACCTCCTGACTATTTACTTTGCACACTTGTCAGTTTTCTCGTTTCTATTTCTGATTCCAAGGGGGCGGAAATATGACATAGTTCTATTCTGCTAGTGCGACTACGTACTCCGTAGTCAGCCTTGGTTCCAATTTCCTTTATCTAATCTGATCAATCAACAATTCCCCCCTGAGTCCGACTGGCAGTGTGCCCCTGCGGTTGGTGAATCTGATTAGATGCAGATCTGATTAGATAGTTCCTGCGTGTTTGACCGTCTGGGCATTCTCGCCCAGACGATCGACCAGAGTAATGTAAGGGACATGCGACAATCTGTGGTTTTGTTCAAGCATTCACTATGATGTGTCGCCTGATCTGACGCGTAGCCGCGGATTCGCGTATCGTATTCTTACATCATATCCAACACGTCTCTACGACCGTAATCACTTACCAACGATACGCACTTGCCTCCACATGTGTGTAGTTGCTTCCTTTAGTAGAATCTGTCTTCGCCATTTCCTTCCCGATGAACAACTACCCTGCATCTCTTTTTATCTTCTCCCAGTCTATGCTCCTATCCATCTTCCCCTTCTGCCATCTACTATGGCTTGTGTGATGGCCACCAAGTGACTGGTGACTCAGTTGAGTGAATCAATCTTTCTTTGCTACTAGAGCGAACTGCATGGCTAATGTTTGCAAATTCCTTCTTAGGTCGCTGGTGCTTCCCTATCATCTTCCTGGCGTGTTCTGGGGGCTTCACTCGGCACATTTGCCTGGGTACCCCTTCTCGCCTGATGGGACCCCCCACTTCCAGTGGGCGCCTACAGCCATTCTAGGCTGTATGGCTTGGGTCCCGGATACAACGGGGAGGCACTGCCGCCACTTTAACAAGGTTGCCTGCACACCGGCGTCCGCTCATGCCACACCGTGAGTCTCATGGAGACCTGCAAAGGCCTTGGTGGAATGCTTTGTGTCTTTTGAGGCGTCACTTCCATTGTGTTTCTCAACCACTTGAGTTGAGAAACAGGGTTGGTGTGGCATATGAGCGGACGCCGGTTTGGCGGCAGCGCCTCCTAATTTTCCTTGGTGTATTTCGTCTCCTTTTGTTTGGCTTGTTGTTTGTTTCGTTTTATGTCTTTTTTGAAACACAAATCCCTAAAGTGAAAGCCTTGTACGAGAAAATGGAGCCGAAGGCAGTTGAACTGCTGGATGTTCTAAGGAACATGAACTTGGTGATTGATGCCAAGGTCAGTCTCAATTCGATGAAATCCGACAGAAAGCAGAAAAATGTCCCGGAGAACGCGATTGCACCGATCTGGAAACATTTAGCGCCCTGTGCTGAACAAACGCAAGTACGGGCACTGGACATTGAAAGTGAAGAAGGTAATCAAGAAACGCCTTCCAACAATGCTGTCTTATAAACTTCATTCGGGGTGACAATGGGAAGCACCCGCATACCTAGCATGTAAGATGGCTGAGCTTGGTTCACTTCTTGTTTTGTTTGCTTTCTGCGTTTTGTTCGTCTTCCTTCTGATCGAAACCTATGCATTCAGTGTGAACGACTGGTTTGCAAGAATGGAACCGAAGGCTAACCGAGTTGGTAGCATCCAAGGTCATGACACCACATCTGCTTCGATCCGAATCAAAGGGGATAGCGTTCGATCAGAACAAGATCATGCTTGTTTCAAACCTTCCTGTGAGCACCTCCTTTCTTGTTGTCATCTATACTATCTCGCGCTTCTCTTTTCTTCGTCATAACATGTTTCTTCACGTTCGCCCTGTTTCTGTTCGCCGTTCCTCTTGCCCATTACTCTTCTAATCATGATGGAATGCAGGTTCGAAATAACACCCGGCTTAGACAAGCTCGGTTTCGCCCTCAGGGCTCTTTTTTTTTTTTTTTTTTTTTTTTTTTTTTTTTTTTTTTTTTTTTTTTTTTTTTTTTTTTTTTTTTTACAAAGAGCAAGCAAGGGTAGTATTGAAGAGTT